CTTCCAACAAAATGGGCTCAGTGACATCCCCAACTTCACAAGAGGTGATTTCATCTTGTTTAATCCACACACCAGGTACAGTTGTCATTACAGCACCAATAAGCGTCAGCTGCTCTCATAATCATCAGTATCAGCCTCAAGATTTTTTTCAGGTTGAACGTGCCCAGCTGTCTCACTTCTCGTCCCGTGCGGCACAGTTTTGAGCAGCCCCTGCTCTGCACAGCCCAGACACTGTGCTCTGAAAACGTTCTCTAAAAGGGTGGTGTCCTGTACCAGAGGCTCTGTACCTCCTCATTCTCAGTATCCTCTCCACTGGGCCATTAGGGCAACTCTTCACCTGCTTGGCACACAGAGCTCACTTTTCATGGCAGCCCCTGTGTTGTTCACACACACTGCATATGTGTGCAATATGCCAGCCGTGTGGTACCCTTCCATATTCAGAGGGTTGGCACTCTCTCTGTTTTGGAGGTTGGCTGGGGGTGGGGAACACTGGTTTCATTTTATCATATGTCTTCGGCCCGTCTCTCCACCCTATCTCATTTCTGCAGGATTCTACTTGTGGTTCGTCGTGTTAACCCCTCCAGCCTCATGCCTCCTCGGATACCTCGACCATGTGTTATTCATTCTTACACAAGTAATGCATGAAATGCGTGGGAAGATCTCAGCTCAATGTAAAGCACGCGTTCCCTGAACGTTGTCTGAGATCCGGGAGCTGCTGAGATGCAGAGAGTAGCTTCTGGCCCTCCTCTGCCCTCAGCTGCATGGCCCTGGACACCTCGTTTCTCTTCTCCGGGCTTCTATAGCCTCCCCTGTGAGGTGCAGAGTTCGGGGAAAGTGATCTCTAAGCAGCCTTCAAGCTCTGCTCTTCAGATTCATCCATTTATCGATTCATTGTCTGCAGGCCTCAAACCCCATAAGGAAGGCAACTCAGCTGGGGAATCTAAGCTCGTCCGAGATGCAAATCACTCACACCTGTGACACAGCCTCAGCGGGTAGCGATGGTGTAAGGGGGGACCAGGCTGACCCTGGGTCCCACAGTCCCCAAGACACCAACCTGGCACCCTGGCACCTGTGCCCCTACCCTCCTCTAGGAAAGAGCTCCAGGGCCATGAATGAGGAGACAAAAATCATGTTCAAAGGAGAATGGCCTTGAATCAAAGGCCAGGAAGTAAGGAGCTGCAGTTGGGGTCTTTCAGGAGACACCTGGGGAAGAAGGCACAGGGTGTCTGAAGCCTGGCTGTTTATCTCTGAGTAACATCAGCCCAGGGAATAACAGCCACCCACCTGCCCTTAGTGCCATCTAGGGGGACTCATAACAGGATGTGGTTTGACATTTACCAAATCCTGCCTCTGGGGTGCCTGTGAAAGTCCCTCCCCCCACCCACCTTCTGAGCACCAGGACAGCCACAGAACCACATCCTGGCCCCCGACCTCTTCCTGTGCTGTTCTCTCTACCTGTGCCCCTGGCTAGCACCTCAGCAGTGCGAGGAAAGGAGGGGGATCTCTGGAGAGGCATGGGGCACCTCAGCTCCATGTGCAGACCACCCAGCCCCCACCCAGCTCAGCTTCTGCACCTGCTGGAGGTCACACCCCAGACCCAGGCTGCAGAGGTCCCTTGAAGATAGCAAGGAATGAAAACTGCTGCAGTAACTGCTCTGACCCAGTTGGGGTCCCTGCTGGCCCCGCATCACACAGGCTACTCCCTTCTCCCATGGGCCCCCTAAATGCCTCCCCCCACCCCACACTCAGCCTCCCACTTCCTTCCACTCATCTAATGAGAGCTGCTAATGAGTCACCAAAAAGGGACGGGGAGATAATGAGCAGACTGGAACGAACAGTCTGGGCTGTCTTGGTGTTCTGTCCTGACTGGGTTTCTTTACTTGTCACCCCCACTGCTAAGGCTGCGAGGTCTGGATGATGGGTGTCCTGTGCTATATGGGTAAGAGGAGGAGAAAGACATAATGCAGGAGAGAATGGAAAACCACAGAGTGGGAACACCCCCAAAGGAGGGGGCAGAGAATAACAGGATATAGAACAGGCCAAGCCTGCTTTGCTGCAGCTCAAAGTCTGTTTCCTACTCAACCCAGAGCTTACAATCCAGGCCAAAACTATGAAGTAGCCCAATTGCAGCATCACCACCTTCCCACCCTGGGTATTCGCATCTTCCTCAAGCTGCCCAGAGGCCCCAGACTTTCTCCCAGTACATTCGTGAGCGGCTGAGATCCAGTCGAGAGGACTTGAAAGGAGTCCCATGTGTGGGACTCATTGTCAGGGCACACCTACAAAGTCAGAGCCAAGAACCGGGTCCTGTAGCTCTCCTAGAAAAGGGACAGCCTCATCTGCTCCAAGGGGCAAATGAGATGGATGAATCCAGGCCAGAGAGAGCGTACCTATACTCTCCCTGTGCCATTTTGCAGTGCTTTCTCCTTTGTCTCCTGAAATGACAAGGATTGTCGATTTTTCTGGGTCATCAACACCATGGAAACCCACAAGGCAGTGATTTTCCATCAATGTGCCGCAAGAATTTTTAAAATCTGCAATACCCGACTGTTTAGTTAGGGGCACTGACCTCTTTTCCCTTAGACTGTCAAATGAAAAAATGACAACAGTGTGTCATATTTTACCATTCAGTGTGAATCAATCAAAATTATACCTACTTTCTGTCAGATTGGCAAAAATTATATTTTTGGTGCATCACAGAGTTTTAGTAATCAGTGTATGTGTGCCTACAGATGAAAAGGGTTGAAAATCGCTGCTACAAGGGAACAGGCCTGAGGAATGGAGCCCACAGCATTGAGAATATCAACTTGTTCTGACAAATTTAGGTGGCTTTCAGCCTCTCCTTACCTGGTATTGCCTTCCTGTCTCTCTGTCACCCTTGTTCTGGGACCGGGACTACTTTCTGACTGCTTTTCTGGGACTTTCGGTGTTCACCGAGACTCCACATTGTCACTCAAACCGGCTCTCCCACAGAGAGGGTCACTTTGCTTTATCTAAAACTAGCCTTCTGAAACACTAAATCTTGCTAAAATTCTCTCTCATCCGTGAAGTTCTCCAGAACTTGTCTGAATTTCCCTCAGGAATGAAAATTCTGTTTCACTTCTCCTATGGACCACACCTTCACGGCAGGGGACCACCTGGATCAGCTTGCTGCACTGAGCCCCAAAAGAAAACACCCGTGACCGACATCTGAATGTGGAGGGTCCAAGTTTCATGGGTTGGCCACCCAATGATCTTTAGCACTTTAAAATATTTACTCCATAGTTTACAATCTAATTTTTAAAAATACAAGTATTTCTTGTGAGCAAGTTGGAATTAAAATATCTTGGAAACTTAAAGAGAGGAAATGAATATTTAGCTGTGGAAAATTAGACCCCATAATAGGGCTTTATCAGGTAAATGCCATTTCATGTAACGTACTTAACAAGTCCATAAGGGAAATTTAGATAATTGGCCCAAGGTCATGACAACTAGTATATTTAGACTTGAAAATCCAGTGCCTTAAAACTACAGAGATGGTGAAAAGATCAGCAGTCACCAGGGTGTCCAGGGAAGAGAAGTTAGACGAAGCATAAGGGATTAGGGGTGGTGGGACTGTATTTAGTGACTCTGGTGGTCAGGACAAGACATGCTCTATGTGTCCAAAACCTTATAAATGTACAGCACAGAGGAAACCTTAATATCAACCATGGACTTCAGTTGATAATAATGTGTCAATGTTGGTTCACTAACAGTAACAAATAAGGTATGACAATGTAAGATGTTAATCACAGGAGAGGCCAGGGAAGGAAAGGGACCTATGAGAATGTCCTCTCTTACCTGCTCTGTTTTTATGTTCATCTAAAACTGTTCTAGATACTGAAGTCTATTAGCTAAAAATAATCAGACGGCACTGTTTCCAGGCGGGATCTATTTCTGCCTGTGTTTAAAAATCAGCTCATATCCAAACGTTATCTGGAGGCGCTGCTTACTATTCAGTGAGCTGCAAATACGCCTTTACTTCTACTGTCACAGCACTACTGCCGGGCTTAGTAAATAAAAATCTGTTCACAGGAAAATAAACAACAAAGCCAACCAAGTGCCTTCATTAAGCCAGGCCATGACCCTGCCCAGCACCAACCTGAACACAATTCATTTTGGTACTGAATCCCTTGGAGAGCTCAGAGGGCCCAGCACATAATAGTTGCTTAATGAATTGCTGATCCCAAAGGTCCAAGGGAAATGCTTGGACATCATTAAACACTGTCTTGATACTTTGTGGCTCTGTCTCAGATTTTCCTCTGCAGATGAAAATGATACTGAAAACGAACACATCTGAATTGCCCTAAAAAATGATGCCAGAGACAGAGTATCTTAAGGCTTTTTGTGCCCCCTTGTGGAGCAGAAGAGACCTTCAGAAAGAAAACCCTTTTTAAGAAAAAAGAGGACAGTGACTGAGTAAGGAGGAAAGAAGCTCAGTTGCCAAGGTAACCATGGCATCTCTTTCCAGCCCTCCCTTTATAAGCCTTTTCTCTGCTTTACTCCCATCCAGGTAATTTCTCTTTTTCAGGGCTTTGCTATCACCCAGACATACCACTTCTTTATCCTCTCTTGTATCTCCTTGATCACCAGCCACTTCTCTGCTCCTTTTTTTTTTTCTACAGGGGAAGGGATGAGAAACCCTAGAATGGGAATTTTTAGAAAAGCTTAAAATGCAAAACAATCATCAAAATCCCTAAGTGCATGTTTCTGATACTGACAGAACCACACTTGGATCCTGTACGGGAACAGCCCACAACCACCTTGCCCTTCCTTCCCTGGCTCCGGGCCTCATCCACGCCTCCACAAAGTGTCAAGAGCAATCAAAGGGGACTTTTCCAGGTGATGAAAAGTAACCAGTTAAGTCCCCAGAAATGGCATCCTCACATTTGGTCATCAGTCCACCACTGCACCACCTCCAGTGCCAGGTGTATGCTTCCTCTCTCTCCTGCACGTGCTCAAACCTGCCCCCCAGCACAGACCTACAGGAACTGGGGAGAACAGTGCACTTTGAGGGCTGCAGCAAGGCAGCCTGGGGCTGGACATCCACGGGTTGGGGACTTGACTGTGTGTGCAGTTCACAGGTTCTGCAGACATGTCTTTTTGTTCTCCCTGAAAACTCCTCAGTAAGGTTCTTTGTGGAGATCTGGCTTGATTCAGTTGCTCCCACGCGGACCGGCAGTGAGCAACCCAGTGAACAACCTGCATCTGGTCCTCAAGGGAGGGCTCCTGAAGAGGGTGGTGAGGGTGCAGGGGGGCGTGTGGTTTTTGCACAGAGGTCCGCCCCACCCAGCGCAGTGTGATACTCCAGGCGCAGAGGTAGAGGCCAGAGTCGTTGAGGAGGAGCTTCTCAGAACGCAGGGTGAAGTAACCATCCTCGGGCCTGGAAGCTGTGAAGTGCTGGGGCGCCTGAGACTCTACCTGGTCAACAATGACGGAGGAGAAGAGCAGCTGGGGGGCCCCGCCTCTGGCCTGGTGGTACCAGTACAGGTTGGGGCTTGATGTCCCTTTCACTGTGCAGTACAGGGAGAGTGGGCTGCCCTTGTGCTGCACCTCCGTAGGTGGCCACTGATGGATGGTCTGTGCTCTGGCACCTGTGGGGAGTGTAAAGGCCACTCAGAGTGAAGAATCCGGCCCAGTTTGCCTTCTGACTGGACAGAGGGAGGCTCATGTACCTCCAATGGCTCATGCAAATGGGATCAATCACAGGAAGTGCCTTGGGAGGGCCAAGGGTGCAGAGGGTCACTGGGCAAGGGGACACCCAGAGAGCAAACTCCTTCCCAGGGGACAGGGAAACTGAGACCCAGCACCCCAGCCATAAAGTCCCATATTCACTCCGGCCAACTGAGGGAATGTAGTAAAGACCATGCAACCAGTAGCTGAGACTCTGGGTTCATAGGGTTGGGTGAGGGTGAGGGCTTGGGGGAGGCTTACCAGGGAGGAGAATACCCGCCAAGAAAGTGCCCAGGAGAAAGGCAGGGAGGGAGCAGAGCATGGTTGCAGCCAGTTGTCAGCTGAACCAGCCTGGCAGACAGGGCCAGAGAGGTGGCCAGGCCCCTCCCTCTTGGAGATCTGCGGGGAAACGTTTCCCCTCAGCTGGGGAGGAAATGAGGCCAGTCACCTCTTCAAGTGTGTGGTGAATCGCCCCCACCTTTCCTGGGAAGCAGCTTTACCCTGCACTTGGTTTTCCATGGGAATATCCTGCTGGGGTCTTGGTATGTAAAATAGGTTTAATGACTTGTTAGGTATCTGTAAACAAGAAATGACTCCCTGGCTCCCCTAGAAGCCCATCAGGACTGCAGCCATCCCAGAAATCCTGATTCTGGCAGGCTGCTGGAGAGGGATTTTGATCTATCCGAAGTTGGAAACCAGCTACAGGACACGGATCCTGGGTAGCTGGGAAAAAAAGCAGATCAAGGCTCAAGAAATCTAGGTCTTTGGGGTTTTCAAAGCAAAAGAGCTCAGCCCTGAAGGAAAGTGGGGAGCTGCCCTGCCAGCCAATCAAGGGATCCTCCTGCTTTTCATCTTGTTGGACAGGATCTGAGACCCAGACAGCCAGATCAGCTCCTGAACTGATCAAAGCTGGACTCTGTGTTCCCTGTACCACTAACGACCTCGCTGGATCTAATTTATCCTCTTAATGCAATGTGAGATAGAGGATGCATTGAGGGGGCTTGGAATCAAATAGATCTGGGCTCTAATCTCCACTCTGCTTCTTGCTGGTTAGAAACCCCTGGCAAACTCTGATCTTCCATTTTCTCATCTGTGAAATTAAAATCAGGATTATAATGCCTACAAATGTTTGAAGGATGCCTTTTGCTTGGTGCACTGCATGCACTCCTAAACGTTGTTTTTTTTAGACTACAGGGAAAGCCTCCAGCAAAGAGTGGAAGGTTTACAATGAGATGCAGTAGAGGGTGGGACGCAGGGCATGACAGAGACATCAGAGCGTCGGGCCATTGACTTGTAACAGCTAAGGGTGAGAATCTGCTAAGCAGCTGGTATGACCTCATTCTGTTGAAATGAGACAAAGGAACCCTACTCCTTCCTGGGAACTGCCCCTTCTCTTTGAGATTCCCTTTCCAAACAATGACTCAGTTGGGGTTGGATGTGCTGGAGAGGAGGAAGCTGGGTACCTGGGAAGAGAGAGGAGTAGAAGGGGCCAATGAGGGAGAATGAGCCTGAAGCAAAGCACGCGTTCCTGATGGGTTCCCATGTCATCAGGTTCTAGTTATATATTTGTTGTTGTTGCTGAAGCTGCAGGAACACAATTTAAAGTTAATGTTGGGGTTCTTGCTTCTAACAGCCTTCCAGCTGTGGCACGTTTTTTGTTTGCATTTGAATGCATTATATTTGTGGGAGTGTTTTTACTTTTATTCTTTCTAAATGTAATGAATCCTCTTATAATATTTACTTAGAAGATGACAAAGTGCATGGTAAGCATAGTGTGCACCCTGTGAACATTTAGAACATATGGTAAAAAGTAGCTATAGGCAACGAAAGAAGCCAGTGGTGTTGTACCGTTGTTTAACCTCAACCTCTATAAACCTGCTAATAGAACTCAATATAATATCTGTGCATGTCGGGATCGGAGGGAGTCAGCCAAAGATAGATGGTGCCTATATGGACACACACAAACTCCTTCCTCTTCTTCCTTCCCTTTCTGTTCTCCTTTGTCTTTGTTCCTGGAATTTTTGTTGAGTTAGTCCTGAGCAGGTGTGTAAATGGAAGGAGGGTGGACAGGAGAAGGCAGCAGATACAAGAAGAAGGGAATGGCTCTTGCTCTAGATGGGACCATGTCATGCTTCCATTGGGCTGGCAGACCTCCACACCCGTCAAGGCCCTGCGGGTCTTGCATAGCCCAGGAGCGCTGATGTCACTCATCAGCTGCGTTGGCTCAGTGTCATCACCAGGGAGACAATCTGATGCTATCTCCCTCTCTAGAGATGGCGCGGCAGATTGGAGGGTGAAGTCAGATCAGAGTGGATAGCTGGCTCCTGACTCTCTGGTCAGTGTTGTAACTTGGTAGCATGGATAGCTCCTTCCAGATGGCAGATGCTTTGGAAACATATCTCCTCATTCTCCATCCCGACCTGCCACACTGCTACCTTTTTTCTCTGCTTTTTTTTCCATAGCCACACCCATCTTCATTTTCATCTCAGACAATTCATCGCTTGAAAAGTATATCTAACAAAACAAATGTGTCATAACAAACCAGCCTCACTTGGAAAGCAGTTCCTTGACCACCTCTTGGTATATGAGCTCAGTCCTTTTAGATAGTACCCCCTTCACCAAAATAACCCATCCAAGTATTTAGTAGACAAAATGAGTCTCTATTTAAGGAGAATTCTGTGAATTAGAAAATAAGGGTTTTCTCTCCCTTGTGTCACCCACAACCATTAGTAAAATGATAAGGATTGCTTTGGGACACAGGAGCACGATAAGTTACAGTGGCCCAGTTCAGTGGGAAAAGTGCCACTGAAAGATGGACTTTTAAGGAGATGTCAGGACTAGTGATGCTGATTTGGGAGTCTTCTCCATAAGGATAGTAGTTGAAACATTTGGCATGGATGCAATTTCCAGAGTTACTAGGAAGGTAAAGAACAAAGGTCCAAACACAGGAATCACTGAAAATCCACATTTTTTTTGGCAAAGGAAGGAAACAAACAAACAAACAAAAAAAAACTTGAGGAAGAAAGAAGTTAGTCCTGGAGGTAAGAAGGGATTTGGGATGGCATCTGGGAGTTAAGAGAAGTCAGTGACTAAAAAGAAAAGGCACTAGGAGTTAAAGGCACTTGGTGAAGCTGGGACTGAGGAAAACCACTGGGATTAGTGATCAGAGGTGGTCAGAGGAGCAGGTGGGAGCCCTCAATTGACAAGTATAGGAGTGGAGAGAATGAGGGAGGAGTCGGAGGGAATGGTGGAGTTGAATCAACCAAGATAACTGCAATCTAGTTTTGTTTGGAAGAAATCTATAAAAATGAGGAAATTGAAGATGCTAGAGACAGGGAAACAAGGAAGCATGAGGAATTAATTCTTGGGCACCAAGAGGGGGAACTTCTTCCTCTGAAACTGGAGACAAAGAATAAGAGAATGTATACAGGATAGATGGTGTAGAAGGTCAATAAACACACTGAAAGATGCTTAAGCGAACTAATAATCAGTGAAATGTGAATATTTAAAAAAATGAACACAATTTCACCCATCAGAGCAGTAACATTAAAGGAATTGATAGTATCAGACACTGGTATGAGTGTGTGAAAATACATCTTCTCCTCCACAGCTACAATGTGAACTGCAACAGCCTTTGAAGAGAGTGATTTGGTCATGGTTATTAAAAATACACAGAACATCTTGCTCCACAATGCCCTTCAAAGAAACAGTTCCGGAAAAATACATGTACAGGTGGGAAGAAAATTTAGCCAGAATGTATGTTATAGCATTATTTCTAAGTGGCAAAAATGTAAATATCCACCAGTAAAGGAATAAACAAATAAATATCATATACAATACTAAGCAAGAGAACTATTGACTGAAACAGAGTGATTTATGGTGGCATAAAAATATTTGTAAGATATTCTGTTAAGCAAAACAAGAAAGCTGCCAAGTAATATGCACAAAGCATATGATTTACATCAAAACACATATGCAAATATATACATGCACATATGTGCATTCATTTATTCAACCAGCAGGAACTGGATACCTGCTATCCATTCCCACATAGCTTATTTTAGCAAGAGATGCAAACATACGTAGAGAAAAAGGACTGGAAAAATGGACACCAGATTGATAATAATAATGGTTATCTCTGAGAAATAAAGCAGGAGAGGTAAGTAACAAGAGAGCCTTTGTTGGATTTGCAGTGTTTGTAATTTTTTTTAGGTGGCCATAGTTATATAATGTATGTTGGGTACCATCAACTGAGCCTCGGTCTCCCTCCCCTTCACCTATTTCAGTAGGAATCTAAGTGAATTACGGTCATCAGGGTTCAAACTCCATCTTCCTTCCTTCCATCCATCGTACATGCCTACTGAGAACAGCATCAAAAAAAAAAAAAAAAGGTGCAGAGTAGTTCAGACTGACAAGAGTCAGGATGCCCAGCGAAGGATGAGTAAGTAAAAGAAACAGAAGAAATGATCTAAGAGAGGAAGAGAGACTATGTGGATTGGAAATGCTGACAGAAAAGATGTTGAGAAAGAACTGTCTTGTAAGATAAAGGCGTTCAGTGCTTGGCCCAATTGGTGTAACATCTGGATCTTTGAGGGGTTCCTCAACATTATGAACCTGAGCTCATAAATAAATGACAGGAAAGGGGGACTAGAGAAAAGAACATGAACAGGTCACTGAATCACCGAAGGTTGTGAAAATGGGTCAGCAGAGGATGCTGAGCTATAGATTTCAAGAAGGCTGTGGACATAAAAGGCAAAGACTTCAAATAACGACAAGCAGAGGAAGGGTGGTAGAAATGGCCCAAAAAACAGCCTGTCCCACCCCCACCCACCACAGCACCACCTCTCGTGTTGGTTTTGGAGAAATCTCAGTGGAAGCCAAGAGTGGGAGGAGGAGTTTCTACAGAGGACTGGATAGGGTAAGTGTGTGAAGCTAAAATAAAAGAGTTGGGAAAAGAAAAAAACAGGATGTACACTAACTGCATAATGTAACCAACATTATGGGGATGACGCTAGGTGCTGCCAGCAAGATGGCTGAGGTGAAAGGGCAGTGCCCTGGGCTCTGGGTGTGATTAATTGGGATAATGGAAGCATTTGGGCAGGCGGAAAAAAGGGGAGCCATTCAGGGGAAGTCAGGATAGGAACTGGGATGTCCAGTTGCTGTCGTACCCACATCAAGGTGCCTCAAAGTGGGTAAGAGATGTTCTGGAGGGGAGAGGCCAATGACTATGCATGTGCACACACGCACACACATAGACTTTCTCTCAGATGCACCCTGAGTTCCTGAACGTGAGGCTGGCAGTGAGTCATATCAACGGCAACAATTATTTGACCTGTCAGGCATGTGT